GGTATCCTGTAGGGTCCAGTGGCACAGACTCCCCTATCACCCAAGCTTTTTACTCGAGGTGTGCCCTTTGTGTGGGCTGTACGCCCTCCTCTTCTAGTTGAGCCTTGGTTGCTGTTGGCAGGTCAATGGGAAGGATTTACCTAGGCCAGTCAGCTGCAAGAATTGGATGTGGCCACTGACCACCAACCTTCACCCTCTGTGAAGGATCAGCTGTGCAGAGAAAGAGCAGTGGTGTTCCAAAGTGGCCTGTAACTGAACACTGGGTACACCAGCCTGGGGTTTCCTGGGTGGTATGCCAAGGTCAGCCCCCACCTGCGTTTTGCCCAGTGCCATCAGCCTGAGCTATAAAGCAATCTGAGATGGCTGCTACTTGTGCTGAGTTTGGAGATTCCCAGGTGAAGCCAAGCTGTGAATCTAGGCTGGGTGCTGCTAGTGCCATGCCTGGGAGATACAGGGCCTGGGGTGGGGGTGGGGGGGTGGCGGGAGTCACTAAGGCCAGCTGCTGCTCCTTTAAAAGGATTTAGGAAGTTGTGAAATATGAGGGAAGACCAGCCATTCATATGGAAATCTGCTGTTAACATATGTAAGTTGGGTGGGAGGGAGCCTTAAGGGATCTCCAGTGCTGGGCAAACAGTATTAGCCAGGTTTATAGTCTCAAATAGGGCACAAGCCTGTCAGCTCTGTGGCTGGGGGCGGGGGGTATTTAGAAAAGAGACAATGGCCTCGGCCCACATTTCTGTCTAGGTCAATGCTATCCCCCAGCTCCAGCCTTGATGCCAGACACTTCGGTTCCTCCCTGTATGCCTTTGGTGCCTTTCAAGCTGTTACCTCAGTGTTGGTGCTCTGTGGGAGTGAGTCTGAGTAAGTTTGTATGGGAGTTCTTTAAGGAGAACTGCTTGGGACTCCAGAAGTTTCTTCCACCAACTCAATTTCTGCTGGTTTTTGTAGCCAGAAGTTATGGGGACTTACCTTCTTGGCCCTGGAAGCCTGGGCTGGGGGGTCCTGGTATGCAGCTGGGACTCCTCGCTCCCAAGATATCCCTCCCAAATTTTTATCCACCACACGTGGATGTGGGATCAGCCTGTTCCATGTCTCCACCCCTCCTACCAGTCTGAATGGATGCAGTTTTTTTTAATTCTGTAGTTGTCAGACTTCCATTCAACTTGATTTCTGGTGGTTCTGGGTTATGGTTGTCCTATAATTTAGCTGTAATTTTGATGTGGTTGTGCAAGGAGGTGAGCCATGTTTACCTATGCTGCCATCTTGACAGGAAGTAAAAATATACTATTTTAACCATTTAAAAGTGTACAACTCAGTGGCAGTAAGTACATTCATGATGTTGTTAACCATCACCATTATCTAGTCCGGAAGTTTTTCATCATTCAAAAATAAAACCCTATACCCATTAAGCAGTTGTTCCCTATTCTGCCCTCTCCCCAGCCCTTGGCAACCACTAATTGGCTTTCTGTCTGTATAGTTTGCCTATTCTGGATATTTCATATAAATTAAATTACACAGTATGTAGTCTTTTGTACCTGGCTTCTTTTCACTTAGGTTGTTTTCATAGTTCATCCATATTACAGCATTGGAATGCCCTTTTGAAGACTTAATAATTGCTCCATCTGGGTGGCAACACATTGTGAGGCTAATAGTCCCCAAGTTTTTGCATAAGTTCTGAATTTCAATATATATCCATGGTTCAAGAATCAATGCCTAAGACTGAGAGTGTATTCCTTCACTTTTACGCCTAGTGAATCACATGCAGAATTCTGCTCACCATTCCTGCCACTTTGGGCTCTCATGGTCCGGAGGTAGTCCCCAAAAAGAATGTTTCCATCAGGGTACATTGCGAGAGTTCAATTAAACTGGAAGTGGAGACTGTCATTTGGGGATTCTCCTACTATTTAACCAACATGCAAAGAAGGAGGCTTCTCTACTGTCTGGGGTGATGGATCTTGACTATTAAGCATTTTTTGGAGTTGCTGCTACACAACGGGAGAAGGGAAGAGTATGCCCACAATGCAGGAAATAATGTAGGTATGCCCCCTCGTACTTCGTACTCACAGTTTCTGTGATGTGAGTTAATGGAAAACTACAAACCCAATAGAGTAGAACCTTTAATGGCCTGGGTCCTTCAGGAATAAATGTTTGGGTTGCCCCACAAGGCAAGGAACCACTACAGCTGAGAGGCTTGCTGAAGGCAAAGGGAATACAAAACAGGTAATTGAAGAGAAAGTAGTTATAAATAGTAATTGTGATCATGTTGCCGTTTGCAGATACAAAGACTGTAATAGTTATGAGCATTGCCCCCTCATTTTGCTATGAATATATTTGTGCATACTATATTAACTATTCCCTCCTTCCCCCCAAATGTGTTAACAGTAGGTAACCTTTTATCTTGGTATTTACGTTACAGGCCATCGAAAGGATAGTGTGACTCATCAAAAAGAGGAATAAACATCCCTTTAAGACTCTTCTGTCTTTTGAAGAGGAGCTGTTTTGGGTTGTATGAGAGAGTTGCCTTATATGGACATAAGCATGACTTTGCTATGGCCTTTATTTGAAAATTAAATACAATCGAAAGAAGTCTGCATGGATGTCAAGCTGATAAGAGTTGGACTGGGATGGTTTTGTACTGTCAGCTTAGCTAAGCTGGAATTACATTTCCCAGAACTCTCTTTATGATTTTGGTTTCGGTTGGCTATGATAGAACTTTTCAGAAGATTTAAGTGGAAGTGAAGCACCAGCCTTTACACTTGGAATGTCCATGCAGGGTCCCAGGCACCACTACAATTTTGCACACAGTCTGCTGACTTGCTGCACTGGCAAGGGGCGGCAGCAGGGCCTACAGCTCCTCCAGCTTGTGTCCTGGACCAGACACATGTGCAGCAAATCAATCAGTCTCTCTCTCTCTCTCATGGTTCTGTTTTCCTGGAGAACACTAGTATTAGTACACTCCCCTGTAAAGAACACTGAAAACAGTTGATGCTTTGGTCTTGAGAGATCCCATACTGTGGTGGAAATGCATGGCTCTGAGATCATACAGAACAGTTTGGTGGCATAAATGATTTATGGTCTTAGAACCTGATTCCTCACCTGTGGAATTAGGATCAAACGTCTACTTATGTGGCTGTTACGTAGGGTTAAGTTAAACATTGTATATAGAATACCTGTTATGGCTCACAGTCGGGGGTGGGTGCGCAGCAAATGTTAGCTCTCCGCTTTTCTGAGGGGAAATGCCTTGTTTAGTTAGTGCCCTGAATCTTATTAAATGATTTAATTGAACTGAGTCTCTTAGATACTAAATGTGATATAGTTTGGCATATACTTTCTGATATAACACCAATACCACTCTGGATTGTTGTACCACAGAATCCAAACATTGTTTGAGGTTCGTTCTGCCGCTTACCTGTGTAAGACCTAGGGCAAGGTATGTTTTCCTGAACCTAGTTTCAATTTAAATACTATTACCTCAGGATTTTCTTTTATTGTTAGGAGAAAGCGCTCAGCTTAATCTTAAGCATATAGTAGATGCTCTATACATCTGCTAGATATTGTGAGAGAGTATTAGGGTTTCAAAGATGAGCTGGATCAGTTGTTGCACTAAAGGAGAGCTTACCATTTAGTGAAGACAAAATCCATGAAACCATAGTGAAAGTTTTATTTCTTTTAATAGTGGAGGGCAGACAAGTAGACAAACACCAACGGAGGAGATAGAAAGTTTTAAGTGATATAAAAGAATCAGATGCCAAGGAAAGATGATGAGACATCTTGCAGACATTTGTTGATTTATGGGATCATGAGTATTTAATACCTGATCTCATCAGTAAAGTCTATGCAGTACTTTCCACCTTGCCAGTGCCTAGTCATAGCAAATAAGGGAAAGGGTGGGTGCTCTGAGAGCAGAGCCAAATTAACAATTTTGCCAGCAGGGGAGAGGTTGTTCATGCTGACATCCTAGACGTTGGAATGCATTTGGAACAATGGGTTGCAGCTGAAAAGCTTTGACAGTTTAGAGAGAAATGTGACAAAAGGAACCTGCCAACTTACGTATCCAGCTTACAAACCCGGTCAAGTGTTCTTTACATTCTCATCCTTTCTAAAAATCAAAGCCAACAAACAACGCTTTTGGTAAAAGGGCAAGCAGTGTCCTTTTCTCCTTTGTTTTCTCAATTTAATCTTTACTCATTTTTTCCAGTGCTCACTCTTTCTCAGTCTCGGTGTTTTCCCTCCACCTCTTCTCCCCGTCCTCACTCCCGCATTCTCAGGTCCCCAGTTCTGCACTTAGGCCGGGACAGCCCCAGGGCCCGCACCTGCAGGCGAAACGCGCGAGCCCCCGCCTCGCCGCTGGGCTGGGAGTGACGTAGTCGGGAGCACAGTACCCGCGCGACCTGCTGACGTCACTGCCGCAGCGGTCCCGAGAAAAGCCCAAGAATGGGAATTTGAGAAGGGAAGCACAGCGGTGACCCTGCGGTCAGAGCTGAGCGGTGCGACTGCGTTGGGTGCTTTGGGTTTCTGGGGCTGCAAGGCTGGAATCGCGCCTCTCGCACAGGCTGAACCCACCCCAAACTCTCAGCGCTCAAGAACGCAAGAGTTTAGTGATAAGGGGAATGTCCCCACACGGCGGGGCCTCGTGCGCACGCGCCTTGGGTGGGAAGCACATTGGGGAGACGGCTGGAGGGGGTGCGGATTGAAGTTGGTAGGGTAGGAGGGCGTGTGTGGCGCCAGGGAAGGTGACACAGCTCCAAAGTGCAGAACCAGAGGAAGGCAGCTCGCAACCTCCGCCGCTAGCCCGTCGCCACGGGCGCTGCGGCGGCACGGGGCGCGGGGCCTGCGCCGCGGCGTCGTGACGTCACGGAGGTGGCGGCCGTGGTTGGCGCAGGGTCCGCGGCTGCAAAGTGTGAATTACGCTCGGCTCGCGCCACTGGAGGAGTGAAGCCAGGCTCCGGGGGAGGGGAGGGGCAGAACGGCGGCGGCGACCCGAGCTGGTGCTGCTCCCGATCCCGGCGCACCCTGGTCTCGACGCTGGCTCCAGCTCTTTCTTCTTGCAACGCTCCTGCTCTGCTCCTCCCGGCATTAGAGCCCTGGGGCAGCGGGGTTACCTTTCCGACTTTGCCGGTGCTGCCCCCGCTGGCACCCCGGAGCCGGGCGTACGCGGGTCCTGGTAACTGTCGCCGCTGCCGCCTCAGCGCCTTCCCGCCGGCGGCTCGGGCGCAGTGTTCTGGTGGCGGAGGCGTGAGCGCGAATTCCCGGCCCGGGGTCGGCACCCGCCAGCCCTGCCCCCGCCTCGGCCCGGTGCCCCGCAGCCGCGGCCCCTTCCCAGCGCAGGGGCCAGCGGCCGGGGCAGGGCGGGCATATTCAATGGAAGTATGTTACCAGCTGCCGGTGCTGCCCCTGGACAGGCCGGTCCCCCAGCACGTCCTCAGCCGCCGAGGAGCCATCAGCTTCAGCTCCAGCTCCGCGCTCTTCGGCTGCCCCAATCCCCGGCAGCTCTCACAGGTAAATTGCTGTCGCCGCGAGGGCTCACACTTGGGGCTTCTCTCTTTGTTTCACTCTTCCCACCCAGCTTCACCTCGCGACAACCCCAGTCCTTGCCGTTCACCCAGACCCCCCAGCGTAGCTCATTGTTTGGGGCTTTCTGGGCTGCCCCTGCGATTTGAAAGCTGTTTCTTTTATCGTCAGGACTGTCTACTCTCAGTTCCTGGCCTCCAGTGGGGTGGGCTCCAGGAGCCCTTCGGACTCTCTCTAGTGCCGTCCACCATCCCTTGCTCGGAGGTTTAAGCCTCAGTAATGACTTTGTCTCCCTCTCTTTCTCGACGTCTCGGTCTGGAACTTGGGCCTCTCCTTCTTAGTTGTGGCCCTGGCACACCTGTGCCCCCCTATACACACGCGCGCGCGCACGCAAGCACACACACATGCACACACACACACACACACACACCTGTGCCAGGTTCGCGCCTCACCTCCCCCAGCTCCCGCGCGCTCCGTGGTGCTCAGATGGTCCTGCGGTTCTCCGAACAATAGACCGATTCCCTGTTGCTCTTCTGCCGACTCCTTCAATTCTGTAGGTGGACCCTAAGTGATATCAGAGAAACAAATATCGAGAGTGTTTCCCGGAATCTTCGGTTTCCGCAGAATTGATAGCCAGGAATCCGTTTTGTTTTTAATTTGATGAGATTTTAGAAGAGTAACTATGATGAGCACTCACAGAATGACTTTGTTTTGAGTGGTCCAATACCAGTTTCTTCTGAGAATTTCGTTTTTTTCTGTGGTGATGCTGTTGGCCCACTTCTTAGTTCTTGCTGCTTTTGATTGCCAAATTTAAAATAGGGAGGCAGAAAGAGTTTTGTTTACATTTGAACTGAGTGCCCTCCACTTCTGCTGCCAGAATGTTACATGTTCATGATAACCTTTTAATTCAAGTATATTTATTTTTCTTATTGGTTAATATTAATGTCTTTTAATATCTCTTCTCCCAATAATTATATTGTAAATATCTCGAGCGGGGCTCTATGTTGTTGTTTTTTTTTAACAGGTAGTAATGGAGCACCTGGTAGAGACTTTGCTTATAACAGGTGTGCCTGGTAAATATTTGTCATATGCTTCTCTGCCTGAATTGCTTGTAGAGGGAGCAAGAGCCTATATTTGGGTTTCTCTCTGAATTGTTTTTATTTAAAATCAGACTTCTTTCATAGGCCAAGGTGATGTACTCTTGAGATCAGAGCCAACTTGCAAAAAGTACTATGACATTAAGTGACATTTTAAATAGCATACATTGTTATTTTAAAAGTCGCTGTAGTATCTGCCTTTATAGTACTGTTTAAACCATCTTTAGGTTGCAAAATGAATGTTGAAGAGATATTAACGCACTGCTGAAAAAGATTTTTCTGGTAATAATTGAAAGTTTTTAATGGTAGTAAGTTTTTTCACTTCTAAATATTTACTTTCTCAGGTCAGCAGGCACATGACTAATACCCATTTCTAGTTCAATCTAAATAATAAAGATAATAACTAATAAATTATAAAATCTAAAATACAAATAGTTACTTATGCTCCCTGAGAATGTGAATGAAAAGGAAGATTTCAGGGGAATTAAAACAAGTAAGGCTGATGCCTGAGGTTTTACCTGATAGCTTAATTAATCCCTAGAGACCAATTTTAAGTTGCATGCCTCCTTGCCTCATTTCCTAGCCTTAGGTTTTAATGGATAATGGAATGTAAGGAGTATGATTGTGGCAGTTGAAACAAATTATGTAGAGTCACACCATATTTAACCTACCCTTAAAACTTTAAGAAAAATTTCTGTACCCCAAAGTGAAGTATATTGGAACTTCTGGAAATTTGGACAGAAATTTTCTGAATTAACACTTTTTTTAGTCAATGTTGCTCAACATTAAAATGATGGTAAATTTACTATGATGCTGAGATGGGCATGTTCATCATTGCCAAGACTGTGGATATCATTTAATATTAAAGCATATGTTGATAGTGATTTCTTTAGCCACATGGAAATTTGCAATAGAAAAAGAAGGTAGGAAATCTTGGAATCTTATTCAGAGCTCTATCAAATAAATATTTAGTTAAATCAAAAGCTTTCTTTACCCTTCAGTTCCTAAGTCTGAGGAAAGCTGCAGATATTATAGAAAGTTTAGGTGGTTTATAGTTTCATTTAAAAGACTTTTAAAAAAACACCTGTTTTTTTGTTTTCGTAGGCTCTAAGTATAACAGTTTTTTGTATGAGTTTTTCTGTTTTAAAATATGTTCAAAACTAGTAATTATTTTCAGTTCTTCACCATAATATTGGAGCCTAGCTTATGGTGATAGTTTAACAGTTATTGATGAGGGAATAGGTAATTTAGTTGTCTCTGAGCATCAGTTTTAAATATGAAAACAATATAAGGACTTTTATCAAGATACAGGAATAACTTACTTATCCAAAGCTTTGTTTGGAACTTGTAACTATAGATTTTAACAGATTCAGGAAATAGAAGACCATGAGCAACCAAAAGTAGATTTTGTGATCCTCTTAAATCAGGTTTTAGGTAAAATTAACTTGTTTTCCGAGTAGCAGCAAATTTGAAGTAGGCTAGGAAGCTGCTAGAGTCAGGTTCACACTGATATCAGCAAAAGTTGACAGCTGACACACCAAAAGCCATGAATGAGGGGAAAAAAAAGCCAGTAACTTTTACAAAAGCACCCTGGGGGGATATATAGTGTCCAACCTTTTGGTGTCTCTGGGTCACACACTGGGAGAAGAGTTGTCTTGGGCCATACATTAAATACATTGCAACACATAATCACAAAAAAAAAGAAAATCTCATAACATTTTAAGTAAATTTATGATTTTGTGTTGGGCTTCATATTGGACACCCCTGGAGAGGCTTGGTGTGTTGTACAACACAATAATTATTAGTCAAAATAATGTAAATAGAGCCTGTTTTTTAAAGTTTAAAGATTTGTACTTTAAAAAAAAAAAAAAAAGATCTCCATGCCGAACAATTCAAGTGTTGATTACTAAATGGACAAGTGTGAATTATCTGGAAAAATCATTTATGTGGAACATCGGCTTTCACAAGGATACCAAGTAAATGAGGCATTAACTTTTTGTTATAAACCAGGTCATGTACTCCTTTCTCAAATGGTTAATAGTTTTTAAATTATTTAGAAAGTAGGGATAATAAAAGAAACTTGTTTTTGGCATTTTGGGATGCCTTTTGTTGATAGCTGGGTTTAAAGATTTATCTTGCAGAATAAAGTTCTTATTTGGAAAAAAATACTGTGAGAACAGAAATTGTCTTGTTCACCACTGTGTCCATAGTGCTTTGTCTAGATAGGTGCTTAGCAAAATGTGGAGGTTGAACTAGTGTATTAATGGCAAACCAATGCACTGCACCTGTGATTATTTCAGTCAGATTTTCCATACTCTGGAAACAAGTCTTACTTGGGTTAGAAGTTTGAAACTTAATTTAAAAAATTTTTATAAATCTATGATATGTGTCATTATTGAACAAAATATTGGGATCTAACATGTAAACATATGCTTCTAATACCACAGTAAGCTAAATTTGATTTCTAATTTAGCATCTATATGTGTGGGTATTTTTTTTTAATAGGCTTTTTTTTTTTTTAGAGCAGTTCAAAGTTTACAGCGCAATTGGGTGGAAGGTGCAAAGGTTTCCCATGTACCCCAAATATGCGTGGCCTTCGCTATTATCAGCATCCCGCACCAGAGTGGTACATTTGTTACAGTTGCTGAAGCTACGTTGACACGTCTTTATTACCCATGGTCCATAGTTTACATTAGGGTTTGCTTTTGGTGTCTTTTTTAAAAAAATATTCCACAAATATTTACTGAGCATCTTCTGTGAATGGGGGCTCCTTGAGTTAGGTACTGAGAGAGGTAAAGAATTTGCAGTTAAAAATAAAAAATCGCTTGTAAGCCTGCCAACCTAACCAAGTTTTTCTTTATACATAAACATTTTCACCTATAGTCATAGTGCACATATGTGTGGTCTTTAGCATTGTTCTTAGTATATGACGAATTATGAAGGTCCTGTATGTACCCGAACAGTGCAAAGCCCCTGGATAAAAGTTGGTTCCTCCTTCAAGAATCTTACAGGATTGTGGTGGGGAAAATGGTACAATTATATGTGATGTAATTTTTGTATTGGAGTTCCCAAGGTATGATGAGACTATACAGGTATACCTACATTTCCTGGGTAGATTAGAGGAAGCTTCATGTACTAGTTGCAACTAAAGGTTACCCTAAGTAGGTGTTTCTGTTGGGTTGGCCAAAAGTCCGTTATGTTTTTTTCCATACCATGGCTCTAGTAGTACTAGGTACTTCATTTGAAACAAGTTTGTTAGATTGCATTGTGGCAGCTGTCATATCAGCGTGCATTTAAAAAAAAAAAAAAAGCCCTATCAAAATTGGTGAAATTTTGTGCAGCCATTTTAATAGTGAAGATGGAAGAAAATACACAACATTTTCAGCATATTATGCTTCATTGTTTATAGAAAGGTAAAAATGCAACTGAAATGCAAGAAAAAAAGATTTGTGCAGTGTATGGAGAAGGTGCTGTGATGGATTGAATTTGTCAAAAGTGGTTTGCGCAGTTTCTTGGTACTATTGACTTTGGCCAAATGATTTTGTTGTGGGCCTGTTTTATACATTGGAAGATGTTTAGGAGCACCCTTGGCCTTAACCCACTAGAAGCCAATAGCGGGGGGTGTAAAAAACTACGTTTGTAGATGAGCTTTCTAAGCTTTCAGAGCTTCATTTTGGCTACTGGCAGGTACCCAAACCTTCTAAGGGACCTGTGCACTGATCTTGTGGTCGATATCAGAAATGTTTCCTGTATATGGTTTTGAATAGGAATTTTGATTTACTGCTCCATGCTTCCACCTACTGGTACGGATGGCTCTTTGTTTATTGAAGATAATGGCTAGAGGGAGAAGAGGATGAAATAGTACAGGGCAGCATTTGGGGGGAAAATAAA